ATCCTGTCTCAAAATAAATAAATAAGTAAATTTTTTTAAAAAGTAAACAGGGGATATAGCTAAGTATGAAGGCTCTGGATTCAACCCCCAGAATCACAAAGGAAAAAAAGAGAAGAAAAATAAGAGGCAGAGGCTTAGGGAACATGTGTATTTGTTATGTACTATTTTAACTCCATTATGTAGATTTTTAAAATAAAAATTAGAGACAAAATCAGATCCCTTTGGTCTTAGTATGCTCCAGGAGGACAGGGTAGGCCTGCCTGATTCACACTTCCCACTGCAAACAGATTCACACCTCATTCACACCTCACACCCAGGCTAACCACTCCTGTGTTTCTGCAGAACAGAAGCCTCCTCTCAGGCTTTTTTCTGGACTTTAGCAAAAATTGCTCCCTAACCAGGTCTTTTCAACTACAAACACTTTGTAACTACCTCTCAGGAAAATACACTTGTATTTTCAAAATGTGCTTACCCTATCTCAGGCTAAGGGAAATTCAAAATATTTCCAATCACTACCCCTCCACCGCCACCCCACCACCCACCCCTGTTTTCAAAACTCATACTCTACTAACAAAATCTCTGCACAGGGGCCAGGGAGATAGCTCAGTGGAATAAGTGCTTGCCTAGCAAACGCAAGATCCTGAGTTCAATCCCTGGTATAACCAAAAAAACAACAACAACAACAACAAAAATCTGCACATACCTCAATTACTTCAACTTAAATTCCCAGAAACTAAACTTGTGACTCAAATAATCTGCCTCTCTGAATATACACTGGAGAATTTATCCCCCATCCCTCCTAGGCAAAAGTGGAAGTTTACATTCCTAGACCTAGACCAACCAGTCCTCCAATCTCAAGCACCGCATTCTCACTGATTAGTATGGCAAAGTAGTTTTCATTGTGGTAAAATATAGAACACAAAATTTACCATCTTCACCTCCCCCACCCCTTTTGCAGTACTGGGGATTGAACCCAAGGTTTTTTGCAAGTGCTCTGATCCTGAGCTATATCCCTAGTGTCCCTCTGTGTGTGTGTGTGTGTGTGTGTGTGTGTCCCGTGCCTGCACACAAGGGTTTAAACAGAGGGCCCCAGGCATGCTAGACAAGAACTCAAGATAAACTACATCTCTAGCCCTAGGCTATTTTTTGTTGTTTTTTGGGGGGTTTTTTGCTTTGCTTTGTTCTCAGTGTTGGGATTGAACTCAGAGCCTTCAAACTCAGCTACATCCACAGTCATTTTTTAAATTCTGAAAGAGGGTCTTATACTTTATAACTTGTCTGAACTGGGCTCATTTTCAATCCTCCAACCTCAGCCTCCCAAGTGGGCTGGTTTATCTAACCACCTGATTTTTTTTTTTTTTTTTGGTACCAGGAATTGAACTCAGGACCTTGCACTTGCCAGGGAGGTGCTATGCTGCCAAGCTATATTCCCAGCCCTAACCATCTGTTCTTATCATCAGCAAAATCTTTCATATTTGGCATTAAGTCAGAAACAAACAATCTGTGCTGAGGGCTGGGGAGATAGCTCAGCGGTTTAAGCGCCTGCCTGGCAAGCCGAAAGACCCAGGTACCATCCCTTCCAGCATGCTATGCCAGCCTCAGAACCCCAAGCATGCCATGCCAGCCACCGAAACCCAGAGTGGTAATGCATGCTTTTAATCCCAGTACTGGGAGGCTGAGACAGGAGGATAACCATAACTCCAAGCTGCATAGTGAGACACTACACCAAATAAATAAATAAATAAATAAATAAATTCTTTTTAAAGCAATCTATGCTGAGACCCTCCAACACTTAAGCATTTATAGCTCTGAGGGAAAATCAGAACTCACAAGATTCAGACATTTCAGGAGGACTGAAAATTAAAAAAAAAAAAAAAATTAAGGAGTTATTAGGTCATAGCTCGGTGTGACAGCCCTAGGTTAATCCCCAGTATAGCTCCAACCCCGCAAAATAGGAAAGGCCAAGGACTAGAGTGTGGAACGATAAGGCCACAATATCATCCCTCCTCTGAGGGACAGCAGCTCTGGCTTTGGTACAACCAAGCCCACCGTATAAAAAGAATCCCTTCCAGGGCCTGATGTGCAGGGCCCTGCCCCTGGGGCGTGCTGAGTCAGCAACTGAGACTGGGCATGGTGGCA